GGCGGCGGCGGCCGCGGGCTCCGCTCCTTGTTGGGGATTCGGCGGCGGCGGCGGCGGCGGCGGCCCGGGCGCGCGCTTCCTAGTGACGCAGGCGGCGGGGCCGCGCACGCACGGGCCAGGGCGAGCCCGGATATTTATTTGGCGCTCGGCCGGGAAGCGGGAGGTGTCGAGAAATAAGGCCCGGCTGGGCCCGACGCGCGTGCGCGCGGGCGAGGGCGGGGCCGGAGGTGGGTGCTTCGGCCCGTTAGCTGGGCGGCTGCTCCGCGCCCCGCCCGCTGGCTCACCGGCCGGGACTGGCGGACACACCAGCTCGGCGCGGAATTCCCGGGGAGAGGGTGCGTAGGGGGACGCGCTTAGGGTTGGCGAGAAAGGTGAGTGACCTGCCCGCGTGTGCAAAGGGTCTCCCCAGAGGCAGGCGGGAGGGCTGCCCCGGGAGTCGTACAGTCCGAATCCTGCGATTATCATGGCTTATTTTTGTAGCAAGCGTTAAAAACGGCTTTAAACATCCTCACTTCTGGATTCGCGCGGCTCCCCCCAGTGTTCCTGTGTCGACCCCCAGCCGCGCTCTCCTGTGCTGTAGTCACTGATCACGTGTGCTCATTTCAGCTTGCGTTAACTGAAGTTAAAATTCAGTTCCTGCGCTATCACAGAGGCATTAAAAGACACCCTGATGAAGGGTTAGGAACGCCCTGAAAACTCTCTTTTTTAATGGCTGGAGTGCAAAGTCCCTGCGTTTTCCAGAACGTGAGAAGGTTAGCATCACTCAGCTTTCCTGGAGTTCCTTTGACTTGGGAGCGAGTACAAACAGGCCTTGCTGTTTGATTGAAAGGTGCAGTGGGGGCCCAGGGGGTGGTGAGTGGGGTCACCTGCCCTGCCCAGGCCGGGGCACTTGTGAGGCATCCTGTTCCTGCCCCAGGACTCCTGGAGGAAGCGCTGCAGCCGTGGTGGTTTTGGGCACATCCCCACATCTCCCTGTGCTCTGTCTCCCCACCTGCACCGGGCAGTCAGGGGGACCCAGAGGGTGGCTGAGGCTGGCTGTTCTCAGACCAGGGAAGGCACGTACGAAGTTTCCTCGTGTGTGGTGTCACTGCTCTGGCAGCTGTCAGCTGCGGAAGACTCCGGTGCCCAGTGAAAGGCTTCAGGGTCTGCGGATGCTCCCTCAGGAGACAGAGAAGGCAGAAAACAAATGCCTTCTTCAAGACCAAGCTGTGAACCTGTGTTCATACTTAGGTAGGAAGACCACTGAAGGCCATTTCCCAGACTGGGAAATTTCAAGCAGACTTCATTTCAGGGATGTTATAATTGGGAGAGTTACCGCTTTCATTCTGTTTTCAATAATATAGAGTGTACTCAAGCAAGTGATGAAAAAGTCACTGTTTTTAAAGATTAAACTATTGAGCCTATGTCAGTGCAGCTATTTTATTATCTGGTAAATACAAGAGCAGGTGTGTCTGGTCTGTGCATATCATTTATTTGAGTTTCCCTGTCCTCACGTTACAGAAGTAAATGCCCATAAAGTCAAAGGGAGAGGGCTTCCCTGGTGGCGCAGTGGTTAAGAATCCACCTGCCAACGCAGAGGACACGGGTTTGATCCCTGGTCCGGGAAGATCCCACGTGCCACGGAGCAACTAAGCCCGTGCACCACAGCTGCTGAGCCTGCGCTCTAGAGCCTGTGAGCCACAACTACTGAGCCCAACTACCAAAGCCCACGTACCTAGAGCCCGTGCTCTGCAACAAGAGAAGCCACCGCAATGAGAAGCCCACGTGCCACAAGGAAGAGTAGCCCTGCTCGCCGCAACTAGAGAAAGCCCGCGTGCAACAACGAAGACCCAACGCAGCCAGAAATAAAATAAATTTTTAAAATTAATTAATTTTTAAAAAATGTTAAAGGGAGAAAGCTCAGAAGGATGCAGGAGGCAGACCAGGCCCGGTCCTGCTGCTGCACAGCTGGGGTGAGCTGTGGCCGCTGGCCTTGGAGTCTGGGCACCCCAGACTCCCCAGTCTGAGTTTCCACTGCTGCATGGCCTCCACGTATTTCTGCCACAGGACCTCAGGCCTGGCATTTGAACCTGCGCTCACCTTTTCTGTCTCCGAAGCATTGGGCTCTGCTTGGCTGACAGGATGGATTAGTTCCTCCTGGGGTCTGGGGTGGTGATTTCTCCCCTGTGCTCCCAAGGGGAGGGGAGCTTCCACTCTTGGTTTACTACAGAGGAGGGTAAACCAGGAGAGACTGTCATCATGGGCCCAAGGATGCTGTGGGGTTGTCATGCCCCACCCTCTACTTGGGCTCCACCACACACAGTCCCTGACCAGACTGGAAGCAGGACCACAGCAGGCCCGGCTTACCCAGCAATACCCTGGCCCTCCCTTCCTCCACTCTGCAGGCCCTGAGGCCCAGGACCTCCTGCCTGGGGGAGGGTGGCACACGCACTAAGAATTACAGAACCGTGCATGGGTAAAAGGTGTGTTTAAGCTCAGGACAGACCATTCAACCCGTGGAAGAGTATGAAAGGTTTATTGATACAGTTTCAGATTCACAGTGCAGCCAACCTTTAAGAAACTACCCCTCATCTAGCTTTGGTTTAGTATTAAAGACCAAGCTATTGAAATAGTTTCTTTTTCCAACCATGTATCTGTGTATGGCTAGATTTTTTTCTCATATGCTTCAACCATTCTCACTAATTCTTTTCATTTTTAAGGAAAACGTCACTTTTTCATTTTAAAATGTTAACATGTAATGGGTGTATCATTTTTTAGTGAATTACTGTTTTTTTTAATAAATTTATTTATTTTTGGCTGCGTTGGGTCTTCATTGCTACGCGCGGGCTTTTCTCTAGTTGCAGAGAGCGGGGGCTTCTCGTTGTCGTGGCTTCTCTTGTTGCGGAGCATGGGCTCTAGGCGCACAGGCTCAGTAGTTGTGGCGCACGGGCTTAGTTGCTCCGCGGCATGTGGGATCTTCCCGGACAAGGGCTCGAACCCGTGTCCCCTGCATTGGCAGGCGGATTCTTAACCACTGCGCTGCCAGGGAAGCCCCTGAATTACTGATTTTTTAAAATATGTATTTGGCCGCGCCGGGTCTTAGTTGCACCGTGCGGGATCTTTAGTTGCAGCATGCAGGATCCAGTTCCCTGACCGGGGGTCGAACCCGGGCCCCCTGCATTGGGGGCGTAGAGTGTTAACCACTGGACCACCAAGGAAGTCCCTGAATTACTGGCGGGTTTTTTGTTTGTTTTAATTTTTGGCCGCGCCACATGGCTTGCGGGATCTTAGTTCCCTGACCAGGGCTCGAACCTGCGCCCTCAGCAGTGAAAGTGCGGAGTCCTAACCACTGGACCACCAGGGAATTCCCTGAATTACTGTTTTTTTAATTTCTGCGTTTTAATTCCCAGTGTGGTCCCTGTCGACCCGAATAGCCCACATAAACAGAGCTCTTTGGGGGTCCTCCATAAACTTTAAAATTATAAGAGGTCCCTGAATCCAAAAAGTTGGGGAAGTTTTCTCAGAAATCCTAGTACATCCATGAAATAGATGATTGTCCAACGCTTGAAGCGATGTTTGTGAGGACGTAGGATAAGTGCGAACACATCACTGTGCGCGTCTCAGAGGTCTGAACTCGGGCTCACTTCAGCACCTCTTGAGGGGTAGGTCCTCTCCAGGGGAAGGAGTTTGGTGGATCAGGATTTTTGTCTTTACACTGTGTAGTCTGCAGTGAGCATGTATTATGTTTGTAACCAGAAAAAATGTTAACGTCGTAAGATAATGCCTACTCTGTTTTCCTCACAGTGGGCCTGGTGAAGGTTAAAAACTTTTTTTTTTTTTTTTTTGCGGTACGCGGGCCTCTCACTGTTGTGGCCTCTCCCGTTGCGGAGCACAGGCTCCAGATGTGCAGGCTCAGTGCCCATGGCTCACGGGCCCAGCCGCTCGGCGGCATGTGGGATCTTCCCGGACCGGGGCACGAACCCGCATCCCCTGCATTGGCAGGCGGACTCTCAACCACTGCGCCACCAGGGAAGCCCGGTTAAAAACATTTTAACGTGCTTTAAAAAATCATAAACTACCATATGTAACATAAGGTTGTATTGACTAACATGCAGTTTCTCACAGGGCAGGGCCTGGGTGTTCAAATCCATCACTGTTCTCTGGAGTGAGACACACAGATGTAATAGGCACTCACTAAACTCATGTTGAATACACAAATTAGTGCATGGATGTTTTAAAGTTACGAATTATGTACCTACAACTGCTGCCTGGGATTGACTTGTGTCCTCCAGAGATGTGGTGACGTCACAAGTCCCAGGACCTCAGAATGAGCCCTTATTTGGAACTAGGGTTGTTGCAGGTATAATTAGTGAAATAATGAGGTCGTGTTGGATTGGGGATCCCTAATCCAGTGACTGGTGTCCCATAGGGACAGACACACAGAGGGAGAGGCAGAGATACATGTGCTGCGTCCACAAGCCAAGGATAGCCGGTGTCCAGCAGAGCCCAGGCTCAAGTTCCCAATCCCTGGGGAGGCCCCCACTGCGTGGAGGCTGGCACTGCTCATCACAGCGCCAGCCGCCTGCAGGGGATAGAAGTCCAGACACTTCGTTCCCGGCATCTTGACATCCAGGTCGCCAAGGAGAGCGCGAGGCAGCCGAGCACCGACAGGACAAGCTTTACTCAGGAGAGAAGAGACCAGGTCGGCTTCCGCCGTGGGCCTCGTCCCCACGCCGGGTCCTCCCCACCCTGCTGGCCTGCACGCACCCATCTTGTGCTGCAGGAAGGACCTGACCCCTCCTGAGGAGTCTGACATGCTGAGCGCTGGGGGTGCATCCATCTCACAACCGGAGGGAGGTCCACACACAGGCTCTATGGGCCCCCATCTATTGAAAAGAAACGGTGCCGTTTGTAAGTGGCCCTTCGGGGGCGGAGATACGGCCTTTCCCCACAGCTGAAGCTGGGAGGGCTGATCCTGGTCCTCCCCTCCCCTCCAGTCCTGACAGAGGTGGCCTGGCAGCACCTGACTTCCAGCTGAAAGGAGACACCTCTGTGGTTTCAAGGCCCCCAGTTTGCTGCACACGTTACAGTCGAGAAAACTAATACTGCCAAAGAGCCCAATAATTTTTCCTCAGCAGCAAGAGAAGCAGCCGCAGTTCGTACCGTCCCTTCTACTCAGCCGCACCCGAGCTCGCCCGGCAAGGACGTGTGAGGGGCTGGAGGGAGGCCCCGCTGCGACAGGCGTCTGTCTGTGCTTCCACCTTGCCTGCCTCGCTGGACAGCCTGTTTCACGGTGGGGGCCCACTGCTGCCCCCAGGCACTGAGCCAGCACCCACTGTGTCCAGAACTCATAGGGTCATCAAGGCAGAGTGTCTGAGGTTTTGAAACCTGTCCCCAGAGTCTGTGACATTCCTCCTTTCCAAAGGTGGGGCCTCACCCACCCCACCCCCACCTTGAGGGTAGGCTGTTCTTAATGACTCACTTCTGCTTCCGTGACTAGTTCACCCCCATGTGAGCCAGCCGACTTGGAAGTGGGTACTCCAAGCCCACGCAGCCTCCAGACAACCTCCACTGATGTCCTGACTGCAGCCTCCTGGGAGGCTCTGTGCCAGAACCACCCAGCTCCTGGAGTCCTGACTCAACAGAAACGATGTTTGTTGTTTTCAGCCACTGCTTGGACTCACTTGTTACACAGCAGTAGGTAACGAATACAGCTCTAACTGGCTTCCCAGGAGTCCCCCATTTGTTTGCTGCTCTTTGTTAAGGAGAAGCGCGATTGCTTTTCTGCAAAGGATTCCCCATCATCTCCCAACCTCAGAGGCTCCACATGGTGACTGTCCCTCAGTGCCTTACCAGGGCCGCCTAAGAGGTAAGAGGCCCTGACCTTGATCAGCTGCTCTTCTGGGAGTTCCAGGGCTGTGCGCTTCTATGTGGTGAGCCTGTGTCTGTGAACCCAGATGACAGGCATGCATAACTCACGCCTCATAAAAATATTTTCCATGTATTTCCTTCCACTCCTGCAGATTTCTGATGTCTCCACCTTACTGGAGGCTGTGTGTCCTGGGTTCTGACTTTCCCACCTCTCCCTGGACAGGGGAAGGTGGGGAGATGGTGAGAGTTCCCTGGAGCCTGGGGAAGTAGCTAGGACTGCCCCAGGAGAGGGCTGTGGGTTTGGGGAGAGGTGAGTGGGTCTCTGGGTCCTGGGGAGCAGGCATCTCTCCAGGGCCTGTACCTGAGGTCCATGTGTGGACCTGAGCATGGCTCAGCGTGGACATTACCAAACATGCCTCCTCCCCAGCAGAGGGGTCCCTCCCTGCTGGGCACCCCAAGGGGCAGTTCGGGTCCCCTAGGACAGACATGTCCACCAGTGTGAGTCACGATGTCTGCTTGTCTCTTTTTGCCACTGCAGGTCCCCATGTTGGGACCAGATCTGTGTCTGTGAACCGTCAGCTGTCCAACGGGGTCCACAGAGTGATGGGACACACCCTGGGATTCTAGGACCACCCCCCCCCATCCAAGCAAGACCCACAGCTGTGGTGAGTAGGGCAGGCCCCAGACCTCAGACCCTGATCTTCCTCTGCAGTGGCAAGCTGAGAGCCCGGCCCACAGGAGGGCGCAGCCCTGGGGGAGCTGGGGCGGCCCCACCTGCAGCGGAGGTCCCAGCCTCCCCCCTCCCACCCCCACTGTCTCCTGGGGCTCCGGAGGGGAAAGTGGGCTTGCGTGCTGTTTATATGCTCTTTTCTTAAAATCGCCATTGTCATGAGAACTGTTTGCAGTTGTGGTGATGACACACAAGGGTGGGGTTTCCAGGGGGACGCTTGCACAGGCAGCGGCCTCGCAGCTCATCTGACCCCCACAGATGCAGGACACACGCTGGGAGAGTTCAACCGTTTCTTAAGCACACACATTTTTTTAAATTGTTCATTTGATTTAATTTTTGAGTTCACTTTTACTACGTGGATGAGATGGGTGTGTATTACACTAGGGCTTCCGCTATGAGAGAGCTGCCACCACTCAGAGAAATCCAACCCTCCGTCCCTTTCCGCTCCCCTTTCTGAGTCCCACAAAAGCCACCGGTGGGCACTGCTGGGTTCCAGTCCTGGCTTGTCACTCCCTCGGGGGCTGTCTCAGTGGGGACAGGGATGGGGGGCACAGGTCCCAACTTCCCCAGAAGCCCACTGCAATGGATCAGTACCCACCCATGCTCCCTGGCTTGGCTCTGGGAGGTCACCAGCAGTGTCCCCATAGGTTTCTGTAGAACGAAAGCCAGGGGCACTGAGGGCTGCAATCATCTGGTTTCTGAGGCACTGGCTCTGGGTCCTTCCTGCAAGAAACGCCTCAGGCTTTCCACCAAGAGGCTGGCCAGTGAGGACTCGGACCCCAGTGCCCAGTCGTGGGGCTGGGCTGCCAGGGAGAAGAGGAGGCTGCTGCTGTGTCCAAGCAGGTAGCCGTCCTCAAAGGCTGGCGCTGGGGGGTCGGAGGTCCCCCCAGACTGAGGGAGGGGGAGGAGGCCAGCCGAGCAGGGTCTTGGCAGGAGATAGAGCCAGGCCTCCAACCTGCAGGCTGGCCAGAGTGGGCCACCAGCCAGGAATGGAAGGATGGAGGAGGTGGCTTGGGAACCCTGTCCCCTGCCCCCCGACATCTGAATCTTCAGGCACTGGTCCCCCGCCCCCCAGCATCTACTCAGGGCTCCCAGAGGGGCACCCACTCACACTGGGCCACCTGTCCAGAGGTACGCCTGAAAGCCCTGTGGCCAGGAACAGTGTGGGAGCATCTTTTGACCAGAGCAGAGGGCACACGGGAGGGGGCTGAGACTCCAAAGGGATATAAGGATGGGTCCTCCAAGGGCATCCGCAAAGCGTGGAGGAGAGGAGGGACAGTGGGAGGCTGGCTTTCCCCGCACAGGTGCTGGGCCAGAAGGAGAAGGCCCTTCTGGGAGGAGGGGCCGGCACGTGTCCATGCTGCCCACAACCCTCTAGACCACAGCAGCTCGCTCACAGGTCCCTGGTGGAACATGCCCACTCCCCTGAAGACCCAGGCCAGGCCACACCCCACCACCACTCCAGCCAAGGGCAATGACCGAAGCCTCCCAGGCCAGCCGAGGGTGCCAACCTCAGGCCTGGGGGTCTCAGAGGGCCCCTGTGCCACCACATTAAAGCGTGCTGCAGCTCCTACCCACCAGTTCCAAAAAGCACCACTGCACACGGGATTCCCAGGGCTGGCCAGTGACAGGGTACCTGCCCCCCACTGCCCAGAGATCCTTCTCTGTCCCAGTCTGTCTTCCTCCGCCCACTTCTGCGTGCCCAGCCCCTCTCCCAGAAGAGGACATCCAGGTGGAGGTGGCCCTGCCTGCCGGCAGGAGCTGCCTCAAAAGACGTGCCCTAAGTGACAAGGTGCTCACAGCACAACGACCAGCGTGTTTCTGCCACCATCGCTGGATTTATTGAGGTCACCACCACGTCCACTAAGAGGGCTGCCAAGAGGGGACCCAGCCACGGCCAGCCTGGGGCCTGAACTGCGGGGCTGTGTGCCACGCCCTGGGGGCTCCACAGGGAGAGCCTGTGGGCAAAGCTTTGCCACGAGGGCTGGACAGCTCGGAACGCGGAAAGAGAAGCTGAAGCTGGGAGAACAGGAGGGGAGGAGGGACGGGAGCAAAAGCCGCATCTAGACAAAGTCGAACAAAACAAAACCGAAACCCAGGTGTGTTCCTGTCTCATCTCGGGATCCAGGCGCCGCGGTGTCCAAACGGCCCCTTAGCCGGACGTCTCCTCTCGCTGCTCCCTGTTCCTGCGCACTTCGGCAGCGTGCAGCTCCTGCGGGACAGGCGGGGTGGGCGGGGCCCTGCAGCCGGCAGGGGCGGGGTCCTGCCCCCCCACCCCTCCTGGGCTCTGGCCACCCCTCCTGGGCTCTGGGGGCCCTGCCTTCCGGCTCCCGGGCTTTGGGAACCCTGGGGTCTTTTCCTCCCTAGACTGGCTCGGTCCCAGGTGCGGCAGACGGGACCCATGAGAACACCCTAGTGACCAGGAGCAACAAAGGGCAGGGGCAGGCCTGCGTCACGGACTGCAAGCGCGGCTTGAGGGTGGGGGCTGGCCCTCAGGGAGCCTGGGGTGGTGTCCAGACCCGAGCATTGTGACTCCGGGAATTTCCCGAGGAGTGCAGGCTCGGGGCTCCCCGGAACTAACCTGGTCCCGCTCGCAGGGAGGCTGCTCCGGCCTGGGCAGGGGCTCGCCTTACCCTGGCTAGCCCCAGTAGGACGGGGCGTCACGGGGAGGCCGGACTGCGGGAGCGCCGCTGGCGTAGTGGGCAGGGACCGGCCAAAGGCCAAAAGAAGGGGCTCCTGGGGGCCCCCTGCTTCGGGCCCCGCCCGTCCTCGGCCCCGCCCCGGCGCGCACCTTCTCGCGCAGCCGCTCACGCAGTGCGGCCAGGTGCGCCTCGCGGATCTCCTTGCTGAGCTCCATCTTGTAGTTGAGCTTCTCCTCGGCCAGGCGGCTGAAGTTGTTGTTCTCCTCCAGCGCCTTGTGCAGCACCTCGCGCTCGTGCTCGCGCCGCTCCGCCAGCTGCTTCAGCACCTGCGCCTCCTGCGTCTGCGCGGGCGGCCGGGCGGGCGAGCGTGAGGGGCGGCCGGGCCCGCCCCGCCCAGTGCCCCGCCGCCCAGCCCGAGCCCACCGCCTCCCGCCCCCCGGACTTGTCCTCGGGGAGTTCGGGCCTACCCTGTCCTGCCGTTGGCTGGGGTGACCACCTCATCCCCAGGCAAGCCCTCCCTGTCCACCCTCGGCCGCAGAGCTGCCCCTCCCCGCTGGGCTCCGGGCGCCCCCGCTCCATCCCGCTCCAGAGTCCCAGCTGCCCTCGGGGAACGTGGGAGGAGCGGAGGAAGCTCTTGTGGGCTGTCACGGAGCCTTCCCCGTCTTTTCCTCAAACGTCTGCCCGCTGAGCACGAAGTAGGTGCTTAATACACACCGGGTTCTGAGCTCCCTAAGGTGCCGGGGGCATGGGAGGGGTCCCAGGGCCGCTAGGGAAGGGACGAGTTGGAACGAGGAGGGTGGGGCTGCTGGCGCCACTGTCCAGCCCTGCTGGTGGCCGCGGGAGTGGACCCGAGGCTCCCAGAGGTAATTAGCCTCCCTCAGCCTCCTTCAGAAGGCTGCTGGGCTCCACCCACGTGCCAGTTACTACTAGTTAACCCTGAGAAGCCTGGGTCCCCAGGGCTCACCGGTCCTGCCGTAAGGGGGATAGAGCTGCTGCCCCTGCCCAGTGGACTTGGGCACCAGGACTGCACTCCTGAGAGCACGTGCTTCTCTGCGTGTGTCTCAGTTTCAGAGGGGCTGGTGTGAGAAAGGGTGGGGAGGGGCCTGCTTCTCCCAGGGGCCCCCTGAGCTCCCAGCTCATGGAAAGCCCTTCCTTCACGCTCCCCTGCTCAGGAGGCTGTCGCCCAGCCTCCTCTCCCAGGGCCCCTCCTGGGGCTACCACCTGACCCTCCCACCCTGCCAGCATGGCCAAGGGTGCCCCTCCCAGCAGTATCTGGTTCCTGTCTCCCTCCAGCTGGCTGCCATTGAGGAATGCTTCCTCCCCCGTCTCATTCTGATGGCTCAGGAGGTGGCCCCGGGACCATGAGACCCTCTCTGCTACACAGGCCCACAGCCAGTCGAGTGCTTGGAGCAGCCCGCACCTTGGGGACGCTGTCTGTGGCCAGCAAGGCCCCCGACCGTCTTTATCAGGACCCAGAGGGGTGGCTCCTTACCTTCCTCCGCCCCTCAGCTGCCTCCAGCCGCTTCTGCAGCTCCTCCAGGGAGGTGTCCTTCCTCTTGGGGGGGGAGGAGAGCATGGGACTCTCCGGGGAAAGGTCGGAAGGGGATTTGAGGATGACCTCAAAGCTCTGGCCGGAGGCCCTCTTGTCCAGCTGCTTCACCTCCATGTCTGCAGGGCAAGAGCAGACGGGGGCTTCAGGAGGGCTGCTCAAGGAGGGGGCAGGCCGAGCACACACCCAAGTCAAGGTCTGAGAGGAGGGCTGAGGCTGCTCACGTGGGACTCCCAGGACCGGCCCCTCCCCACAGGGACCTCTCTCCGGAAGGCAGCCAAGCGCGGGTGCACAGACGCCACGGGAGGGGGTAGCGAGGTCAGGGCAGCAGCCGGGCACACTCACCCCCATACTGGTAGACGGTGTTGGGGTGCGGCTGTGAGTAGAAGCAGGAGCAGAGGAGTGACAGCACCGACAGCTCCTTCATCTTCTTGTAGGCTGTGGGCGTGAGGCCGGCCTGAGCAGGCGCCGTCCCATCGCACCTCCAGCCCCACCTCCCTGGATGCCCAGGCCTCCCTGCCTCTGCCCCCGTTGCTGCCCCCTTGCGCCTGTCTGGAGCCTGTTTACCTTGATCTTTTGTGTCCCACATCTCTGACTCTCTCCGTCCCTCCCTCCCTCCCAGATGTTGGCTGTCTTTCCCTGGGCACGCCTCCCTGTGGGTGTCCTGCATTGGTCTTTCTGTTCCTGTCTCTGAGTCCCTGCCCCCCTCGCTCTGTCTGTCTCTGCCTCTCTCTCCCTCCTTTTCTCTCTCTTGGCATTTCTGTCTGTGTCTCCGTTCATCCTTCTGTCTTTCTGGCTCTCCATCTGTCACTACCTCTCTTTGTATCTTTACGTCTCCATGATTCTTTGTCACTGTGTATCTTCCCGACTCTCCCCTCCCCCTGCCCCTCCGCGTACTTCTCCTTCCTCCCCTTTCCCTCTCGTGGACACTTGCCCGGTCGTTGGAGAGGTTAACCACCACACTGGTGACTGGGCCAGCACAAATGTAGAGCTTCTGCAGGCAACACTTCCTTGGGCTGTGCACTTAGGTGAAGCCCTCAGACCCTCCTGTCTGCCCCCCAGCCCACCCCCCATTTACCCTGTAGTGCGCCCACCGTGGGGTGAAATCAGGTTCTCACCAGACACGCACTGGCTGCTCATCAAAAGCCAAACGGACGGGAGCTGTCCGTTCAGCACCACAGCCCGCCCCCTGGCCTTGCAGGGTGAGTGCCCACAGCCAGTATCCACACTACCCAACCAGAAAAGGAGGTGAGCCTGCTGAGGCCCTGAGCCTTGTCAGGGAAGGGGAGATGCTCGCTCTCAGGATGGAAATAATTGAGCTCTTTGTGGTTGGTTCATAGCAAGCCAGGCCCCAAAGTAGACACATGGGTCTGATGTCTCACTGGCTCTCAACAAACCTGTATGCCCAATACTGTCACCCCCACTCAACCAAGAGAACACTGGGCCCAGGTAGCTGGGTGACTTGTTCAAAGCTCCTCCAGAGCAACCCCAGGTGGTCTGTGTTCTTTCCACCACTGCAGTAGGTCCCAAAGACTTGGGGGCTCAGACCCATGCACCTGCCTCCCTGGCTGGAGAAGCTAGTATAGGTCTCTAGAGAGATACTCCACGGAGAGCGACTCTGGCTCCCATGAAAGAGCATGCATAGTTACCCACAGCGTTCTTCCAAGGGGCAGACAGGTTGGACAAGAAACTTTCTGATGAAATTTCACTCAAGATAATGTTTTTAAATTGATTTCACATAAAACTGGGGAAAGTGCTGGTGTAGAAACAGGACACAGGACAGAAGTGACTAGGCCTTGTCTGAGGGAACAGCTTGCTGTGAGCAGGGTCCTCCAACAACCAGTGCAGAGAATGGTGCTATTTGATCTAAGTGTCCTGATGACCCAGACTCTTCCGGAGAGAGCCCGAGAAGTTGTGACGGGAGCACAGAGGAATCCTGAGCAAGCAGCAGGGAGAGCCTTTGGGGTCTTGGAGGAGACGCAGGGCGAAGACACATGACTTGGTCATTGGCTCAGGAGTGTGGGAGGGAGGGCCAGGTAGGGGTGGGCCTCGAAGGGGATTTTGGCCTGACTTGTCGATTTTGCTTTTTCACAAGCAGAATCTACTCGCGTATTACTTATGTCATTAAAAGTTAACTTCAGAAAGGAGGCTGAGGGGTACCTCCCAGGATGTGTGCTTGGGAGTTAGAGGAGGCAGGACCAGGCAGAGCGGCTCTCCAGGAACAGCAGAGCAGGAGATATTTGGACACTTGCAGAGGCTGGGGAGGTAGCCAGGCCTGTGCTCAGAAGGGAAGGTGGGGCAGGGAGTGACAGGGAGTCTGGTCAGGGGCCTAGCTGGGTCCTGGGAGAGGCCAGGGAGGAGGGGCCTCAGTCTAACCCTGCCAGCACCCACCACTCTGGCAACAGACACCAGCCCCCTACCCTGACCTTTCAGAGAGTCCTTTCTCATCCCGTGTTAAAACCTCCGAAAGAGTTTACCTTACAGGCCAGGAACCTGGGGCCTC